CTCTCTCACACACACACACACACACACACACACACACACACACACACACACACACACACACACACTCACAACATTCTCTCGCAGCACCAAGGAACTCTCCAATCCCGTCTTCTCCCCTGCCGATTACGAGCTTTTTCAACATTATCATCCTCGCCCTCCTGCTCACGGTCGTTCATGTCGTTGAAATCTTTGAATCCATTCTCCTGTCTTTGCTTCTCTTCTTCTCCCAGTAGACTGTACCACCAAGATCCTTTTCTTCCCTGGTCTACTGATTCCAACAACTCATATCACCATTGTCCTCTTCATCATCATCATCATCATCATCATCATCATCATCATCATCATTATCATCATCATCATCATCGTCGTCATCATCATCATCATCATAATCATCGTCGACATCATCATCATCTTCATCATCACCGTTTTGAGATGATTCCAATGATTCATTATCGTCAGCATCATCATTTACATCATCATTCTCACCATCACTGATTTGAGGCAGGTCATCCTGATGGCACTGGCCTATCACACAGGGCCATCTTAGTTCACCTCTACAGTTCCGGCATGACACATTAACTCCATAGGAGGCCCGCTTTAGCAGTGTTTCTCGAAGTATCTTTAAACTGCTGGCGCTCCTGACTCACTTCTCTTCCCAGTTGTAGGAAGATAACCCCTCTGCTCTCTATCGCCTGAAGATCTTGAAACTCGTATGTCGATCCCCGGGTAACGATTAATCTCGGTGCCACCTTCTGCTTTCACCTTAGAGAGGAGTACGAGCTGCCCTTCGACCAGATGCGTTGCTCCGGAAGGTGAGCTGTGTCACAGTCAGCCCTACTCAAGCCCTTCACCCCGACTCATAACCAACTACTGTCTCTCTTTATCCTCCAACCCGTTCCACTGCGCCGTTACTGCTACTTCCCCATATGACCCCGACCTCCATCCGCATTGTTCTGAATCGATCAGAAACAGAGCACTCCACTGTATACGATCTCCTCTTCTGCATTTGTGTATGGAAAAGTACGAAGAAAGCGAGGGAATTCCCGTACTATCCCTCCACAAGCAACTCTACAGGTCTACAGCTTTCCTAATTTCTACTCGCTATTTGCAAGTTGCTGCTGTTCACCGCAGCGAGATCCCCAAACTAAAAAGTGCGGAGAAAATACACAAGATCGGGACTATTCCATCGGAAGGACGCTTACAACCAGCGTTCTTCGGTTCAGGTATGCTCGCATAGTTCATATAGTTCATATACACCTCCTCCTCTGGCCTTGGTATCACGGCGTCTGACGAAGACGACTGTCTAGCCCGACACCTCTCCCCCCTTCCAGCTGAAGGACAAGCTCTATTCCTCTTGCTCAACTTCCCTGGTTACTAAGGAAACCGTCTTCCCCATGCTATGCGCTCCGAGGCATGGCGGGTGAGCTTCGCGAACGTGGGAAACCCTAAGGTAGATGTGCTAAGTGTCCCCGACATTGAGCGCTACGGCGCCGCCGTACGGTTCGTCCCCAATTCTTCATCTTCTTTGTCTTTGTCATTCCAATTTTAACGGATGTTCCTGATCGACACCTTCCATGATCGTCTACTTCTCCAAAAGACTGAAAAGAAAAGTGCTTTCTCCGTTGAACCGTCTACCCCACTTCAGTCCAACGGGAGCAACCTTTCCCCGCCCAAAACATGAAGTCCAAAGACTCCGAACATGCCTGAAAATGAATTTAAAATGGGAAAACTAGGGCATGTCAAGGTTTCCAGTTTTAAATGCGTTTTGGTCACACAGTTTCGCGGATTTTGCTCCAAAGCGAGGAAAATCGTGAATGTATCCAACCCCGCTTTAGGGTTGGGTCGGATGTGCTGTATTCGAGGGATGCTTGAAGTGGATTTAGAACTGAAAATGTGACTGTGCCGTAGTTATTACCCCATTTAAAAATTTAAAGATTGTAGGAAGTGAATTTCAGTACAGTGTACCTTTCCCTGCCGTTTGGCTAAAAGTAGGTCAAGTGTAGTATCTGTTCAGATCATACTTGTGGCGCATTAGTGCGGTGCGCGATGCGGTGCACTGCGACGTGCGGAATGCGCGCGGTGACACTGCGCGCGCACGAGGTGCGCCATGCGCGCAGCGCATGGGGACGCGCTACCCGTGCAAGGTGCGTTGTGCGCAATGCCTATTTTCGGTGTGTGTGTGTGTGTGTGTGTGTGTGTGTGTGTGTGTGTGTGTGTGTGTGTGTG